TTGTGTTCCTGTTTGTTATTTTGTATTACTGTATGTTGCTAATTAAGTACTCACAGATGTGTTTGGTTGGTTGTTTCTTGTCCTGTGTTTCTGTTTTGTGTAATGATGCCTATACCCATTTTCACATTGTTGTCATTTGTTGGATCCATAGAGCCATCTGTGTACACGTTGATATGACTCCATTGTTCTGTAAGCCTCTTTATTTCTTTGATCTTTTCTTTTCCTGTTTGATTTGCTGTGATAAGGCTGCTGCTTGTGTTGTCATCTATTGTTATTATTGGTAAGGGATCTGTTTGTTGTTTGTTAATCTCTCTAATATGTGTGAGGTTGTTGTGTATTGAGTTGGGGGATTGCTGTATGCACATTAAAAAAAACAGCAAAAACAAAATAATTCAAATAAAACAACTTAATCACCTCACAGTTGCACAAATCCAATCACAGATCAATAGGAGAATAGGCAACACAACCATCACCCAAAGTCAAGGCACACAACAATGACACCATGAATGACAAAGCAGATCAGGAAGCAAAAAAGGGAAGAAGCAGTGAACACATTATACACCTCAAAGACCTAACAGTGACCAACATAACAACAATGCAATGGAAAGAGTTCACACTAGACACAGATATTTCCAGATTCATCAAGAACATTACCAATGCAAAATGGATAGCCAAATGGTGCACACAAAACAGACATATACAATGGTTGGACAAACAATAAGAAGATCAAATATCATGGCGAGAAACATGGGAGAATCAGCATCCAACAAAGATCACTGCAGACATCACATCACAAGAACACAGCTCCTTAACAATGAGTTGCCAACCAAAAATAATTTACACAAACACAACCCACACACATACAAGACAAACCACTGCCACAGATGCAACCAAATCGATGACAACACTCATTATTTCACAGAACACAGTAAAGAAGATATATACAAGAAATTCATATCAATAGCATTACAAGAAATCAGCTCAAGATCACAAGGAAAACAATCAGAGAAACTAGAAACAAAGCTCAGAAAAGCACTACCACCAAACAAAAGTAACATCGAATACATAGTCAAGGGGGTAATGACAAAGAACCTCTACAAAACAATAAAACAAAGAACACAGGAAGAATGGAAAAAAACCATGGCTTAATACATCAACGAGTCACAACAACCATATATAAAGCATGGCAGAATGGGAAAAACAAGAAGGAATTACACAAAGTGACAAACGAAACAGGAAAAAGAAAGACATAAAAAGAGACACAACCAACCAACCAAAAGATCGAACACAGCTAACCAAACACATTCGTGAGTACTTAATTAGCAACAGAATACAAAATAACAAACAGGAACACAACATGAACTTTAATCATTTAATAAAAAATTATTATATACAAGCTAATAGAGCCTTGGCATGTTAGCTCAAGCCTCTGTCTTTGGACAAGCTGACAGCAACAAGCCGATATGTAAGTTTCTTAGATATAGCTTTATTTACATATAGTAAACTATGTACAATACACAAAAATGTGACATGTATAAAGTCAATAAAGCAAGGCTCAGCTGGTATTTAAAAATAAAAATAAAATTTATTCTTCATTTGTGGGTTTACTACTGGTTTTCCTACAAATGTCATCCAGATACTGATCAAATTTAGTTAGGCTGCATAAAGATGGGACCTCTGGTCTTTCTAATGATCATGGGCTGAAAACAGATCAAAGCAGGAAAGGCTTCTAGTCTAACTCTGATAAAAGTCCACAATCCCTTATGGCAAAGCAGACTTCATAGCACAAAGAACACTATTCCAATATGGCACTTGCTTAAAAGAAGATGATCCAATTAAAAGGGAAATCTGAAGCCACAGGTGGTGACAAAGAGTATAGTACCTTTTCTGAGGAACCAGGCAAAAAGTATTGAATGGGTTATCCAGGTGTTCTAATCAATCCTAAAAGGTACATGCTCCAAACAACTACTGCTAGGATCTAGATTAGGTTAGATAGTTTAAAACTAGTGATAGGATTTTACCAAAGTGATATATAGGTTGTGATCCACTTATATGAATTTATAATAAATTTAAGTATCAAACTGGTATCAAACTGGTATTGAAGTGATACTATTAAGAGCCCTAAAGATGATTATCATATCTTTTGAATTTTATTATAATTTTAGACTTGACAAGAAATTACAAATATTTTATTATCTTTTTAAAGTATTAATCTAAATTATTAAATTAATATGAGAATTAGCTTTATATAAAAAAGATAATTTTAATAGATTATATTTTCAAATATTATATTCTTAATATCTTGCAATACAAATTTAGAAAAACTGTGATCAAAAATAGAGATTTTTAGAATAATTTAAAGAATAGATAAATTATTCATTATCTCAAAGCTAATCTTTACCAAAGAGAATACTAATTTTTCTAATATTGCCAAGAATATTTAAAGATTCACTTTTAAAATCTTTATAGTCAAGTTTATTTAATAAACTAGAAGTTTAAACTAAATTGCTTTATTTAAAATCAAAAATTCATGTCTGTAAATACATAATTCCTCCAATATTCTATAATAGCTTGTTGGTATACTATCAATCATATACAATTAATAGAATAATAAAATGATATATTAGATAGAAAATCAAAATAAACATTAATTAATCTGAAACAATTAATTATGAATGCTAATTAATATATCTTATTTGTGAATCTACATACCATATGTAATGATTATTCATGAACCATAAGAATAATTTGATTTACTTCTTTTGTCCTATAAATAATTATTTATAAAAATATATATACTAAAAAATAATTAATAATATAATAATATTATTAATTAAAGAACTATAAAAAAGAATTAAAGAAAATAATATATATCACTATAAGATTACCTATTCTATTACAGTACTGATATATAAGTCAATTATTAAAATATTTTTATTATATTTAAATAATAATAATAATTTCATTTAGAAAATTTTACAATATATGACCTGTGGGTCTATAGCACAGTGTTCAGTGCTCCACAGGTCAGATCACAAGAAATTTTTAAAATACAGGATAACGAAACTCCTCCATCACAACCTCACAGCAAACATCCTTCATCTCCTGAAATCGAACAATCTTCACATCAAGACAACAAAAAAACTTCAAGCTAACTACCCCTATTCCAGAAAACAATTGGAATTCTTTGGAAGACTTCATGCCTAACTCATGGTATAACAAAAAATAGAGACAACCTGAGAAAACACAATCTCATATTTATCGAACAAGCAACCAATACCACAAACTCACACTGCATCACATGGATGCACTTTAAAACCCATTGGAGGCGAAATAGTTAGGACAGAAGCCACACTGGTTTGAAGAAATCACCTACTGGTTTCAAAAGAAAGAAGACTACCATCCAAAAACTACCATCAATGCTTTTGCTACATGCGACCTGGCAAACCAGAGTAGCATTCAACATCACAGATACATCTCCACGATCATTGATCAAAACATTTACATAGGAAAGGTCAACAAGCAGGCCAGAGTACTTCATGACAAATTTAAGGCACAACACTACATACAGATATCGGGAGATTCTCCTATCAAAAAATGCCATGGGTATGGAATGGACATGCAAGGAAAACCAAACACATGCATTAGGGAAATCAATACCAAAGAAGCAATTGCCATCCCAGTCAAAAGAACAAAAAAACAGCTCAAGATTATACAACCCCATACTAGGCAATCTCCCCTGAGTCCAAGTATCACCAAACTCTATTAGACAAATCCATAATTGGAGTTACATATTACCAGAAGCGACAAGCATCCCACAGATCCTCATCAATAATACAACAAGTGGTACAACTAACATGGAAGAATTTGTAGGACTCAAATTACAATATAAAATTGAAGAGAAACTAAAAGAAATTAAAAGAACAATCCAGGACTGGAGAAAAGTAGACATCTACACAAATGGATCACTAGACAAATATGCCAATAGGCAAGTCAAAATAGGTATAGGAGGGATCATCATCAACCAAGAAACACAAATACAAATCGAGTTTAAAGGCAGATGTGAAGGGTTCACATCATCCACTAGAGCAGAGCTACTAACAATCCTTACAGCACTGGTGATTATAAACACAAATATAACAGCAACTATACATACAGACAGCCAAAGTGCAATATACGCAATTCAATCAAAGCTTCCCAGAAGCAGAGACTAGCAAAAGCAACAAACCTCCTTACAACAACTCTTATAAGGGACAAAATCCAATCCAGAAAAGCATCAACAGAGCTCAGGAAAATCAAAGCTCATGCAAGTAATAGCAACAACAAAAAAGCAGATAGTCTAGCAAAGGAGGAAAGAGAGCTTGGATATGAATGGATGGTTGGAATTAAAAGTCAACATGGCAAAAGCCTGATTTGCACACTGCAATGGAACAAAAAAGACCTGGATATTGGTACCAGCAGATTCATGAAGCAATGGCAAAACATCAAATGGATCAGTGCATGGGCCATACAAAGGAAACACAAGGCATGGTTGAGAACAGGGGATGAAAAAGAGATAGACTGGAAAAGAACATGAGCCAGTCTATCACCTTCAAAGTTCACTAGTTTTGAGACGAATCAACAAGATCATAACATCAGAGCATTTAGATACAAACTCCTTAATGAGGAATTGCCCACAAAAGTCAAGCTGTATAAAAGAAAACCAGATCTATATAAAGACAGGAAATGTTCCTGGTGCACTCACCAGGAAACCACAGAGCATATATTTAAAGAACACTATGCAAACCAAGTCAGATCAGAATTCTTGGGAATTCTGAAAGAAGAAATTTCAAGTAGAATGGAAGTCAAAAGAAAGTTCAACTGGCGAAGTAAGCTCGAAGGGACAGTAACCGACTTGGAAAGAAATCTTAGAAACATAATCAAAGGAATCTTCAGCAAAGACCTGACTTCGCTGATAAAACAAGTAAATGGAACAAAACCAAAAGACACATTAAGAAAGGTAATAGGCAGGATAACAGAAGTACTCCAAAAACTATGGACAAAAAGATGTCAACATTTCCAGCAATGGGAAGCTAGCAATGATATTAGTAGAATCAATAAAAGAAGCAAAAGCTAAGGGCACCCATGCAACAACCAATCTGGAATATAACCAAACCATCAAAATGGAAAACAAGAAGAAATATTAAATATGCAACGGAAGCTTTTAGAGATAATTTTGATTTTATTATTCATACAATAACAACACTGATGAAGCCTTGGCACGTTAGCCTTGACAAGTACCATTTGGACTAGTCAATAGCAACAAGCTGATATGGAAGAAATTCGATATAGCCTAATATGCATCTAGAATAGTTTATAGATAGTA